ACGAGTGACAAAACAAAATCATTCAATTTGGAGTTTATTTTCAAAATAGAACTCAAGTAAACGTAAAGTTGTAATGACTCATACTGCAATAGCATGGATCTACAAACAAAAATTGGCTTATTTCAGTGTTATTATAGGTCTGTTCCAACAACGATCAGAAACTAGTCATTGCCACCAGGATTGTACGCAGTATGAATTTAGCGGATCGTTGTTTTTTTCCGGAGGTGGGAAAATCCATCATGGACGCTCTGTGCGCGAATTGGACTTTAACCAACTAAAAACCATCTCCTCCGAAAGAGCTGATCGTTGTTGGAACTAATCTTATGAATCCGGCAGAAATTACACGGCTGGATTACGAAGATTACGCACGAGAAAGGGTTTGAGAGCGGAGCCCTGTCAAGTGAAAGCGTATCGCAATTTGATACAAAATGCTGTGTACAATGTATGGCGGTTTTCCACTAAACCGACAAAACAGAAACAAAACACAAACTCGTGTCGAAGAAAACAAAACTCCAACTTTTCGAAAACTTTTTAAAGACTGGCGTGTTTTATGACAGTTGGAGTTTTGTTTGTTGAGTCCCGCTCGGAAGCGGTAACATCAAAAGGTTTCAACGTATTTTGAAACTCGAGTCTGTTTACTGGAAACGGTCGCGCTTGTTGTGTAGTCTAAATATTGTATAGCTAAGTAAATAAGTTTTTTTTTAAATAAGTAATTTATTTTGAAACGGTTGATAAATTATAGCCCACTATAAAGCCCTAACAGAGCTGGGTAGACAAAACAAACTAACCTTAGCTTGGGTACCAGGCCACAGAGGACATAACTAGAACAAGAAGGAGCCTCAAAGGCTCTTATTGGCCTAGAACCCTTATGTGGTGTCACAAAGATAACTATTAGAACATGCACAAAGCAGTGGATGTTTAAAAAATGTCAAGAGTGGTGGAAAAACTCACCAGAATAGACAGGACAAAGAGTTCTTAAAAGGACCATCGCCTAAACTCACCGAGCATCGACTAAGCCTTAATAAGAAAAATACTAGAGTACTAGTAGGCCTATTAACAAAGCATTGTAGGCTTAACAAACATATGTATAATATCGCTCTGACAGAAAAGACCTTGTGTTGATTTTGTCAGGAAGAGGAGGAAACGTCAGAACACGTATTGTGCTACTACTAAGGTCTAGCAAGACTAAGATTCCTTATACTTGGAGAAGAAAAGCCAAGGGTAACTAGCTATACCGGAGAACTACTTTCCAGTATATGAAGTATGGAGTCTACTACAAAAGACCAAATTAGACAAGGTTCTCTAAACAATGATTATAGGATATCCACAATAGATCTGAAAAGGTCGAGGTGGGGGAGATTACATGGCCCACAGTTTTAATTAAATATATTCTACATTATATAAGTATATTTATTAGTAGAATCAAAGTTTAAAGAATATTATCTTTAAACTGTGGTAGAATATATATATATATATATATATATATATATATATATATATATATATATATATATATATATATATATATATATATATATATATATATATATATATATATACATCTTTAAACATTATTGCGTCCGTACAAAAAACGACCTTGTTGCGTCACCAAGAAAACAAAGAGTTATTTATGATTTGAATGCGTATACTGGTTTATCAAAGAATTTCATAGATGGGGCTATACGTGGTTTTTTAATATCTTCAAATTTTAAATATACAGATTTTCGTATAATTTGAAACATTGTTACTTCCTTATAAAAAGCAACCTTATCAGCTCCGTATATTAGTTACACTATATATTGTTGCGTCCATGCGGTGTTGCCAAACTTGTAGGACGCAATAATGTAACGCAACTACATATATACCTAACAATAACTGAATATCGGATTATATGGATTTACTTAAAAGAAGTTATAAGCTGATTTGGTTAATTTCAAAATCTCAACATTTTTAACTTAATTTTCTACTACTGATACATCAGGGGTTAAATTTCTTCGTGATATCCGTCCACATATTGCTTTCCTTGTTTTTCTATGTTATGCCTATTCACTAATGCATATTTAGAAAGTAGCAGGCGTTTGTTGGGAAACATGTGGGGATTAGAGGAGTTTTCCCCTCGTAATAATCTTACCATAAAACTAGCTTTGAATGCTTGACTGCCCAAAAAAGGAGCATTAATATGTTTTTTAGTGTTTATGATATGTATGTATGTCTTTGTATACCACATTTCTGGTATGGCTTTCAGCTGCTATTATCAACAGATTACTTACAGAATTAAATTACTAAAAGGCCACATAAAACTCCGTGAGAAAAGAAGCCCTTAGGCTGTCTAGAATCGGGACATCGAGATATGTCGTTTTAATCAATTCACTCATCTCATAACAGTGTGCAAGAAGTTCGACTTATTAAGCTATTGCATAGCTTTTATCGCGGGCTTTGAGCGTGGCGACCTAATCAAGAAATTTTGTAATTCCGTAACGAAAATAAGCTTAACACCCCCACTCCGACCGGCACAGCGGTGCGTCGTTTTGAAAGCCGTGGAAGGTTTTATCCGACCCTATTCGTAATAGTATGAAGCGGAGTTAAATATACCTCTGCGGACTGGAACGTTTATGCAATAAAAGAACTAGAAGAGCTTTCTCTGGCTTTTAATAAATTGGTATCACAAATGTTCCCGACTGGCGTAAATATTAGATGTTAATTTTTTTTTGCAAGATTTATAATAGTATATTATGCAACGATCATATAATGATGGTTATTAATACACGAGCATTAACCGGGATACGAAACGAGCCAAAGGCGAGTTTCTTATGGTTTATGCGAGTGTTTAAATAACCATTACATGAGAGTTGCTTACGCTATTTTTTCTACACTCGATAAATAATCAAGATCTGCAAATATTATATTTATATTGGTATTGAACACAATAACAGTATTTACTCGTATTTCTATAAAAAATTGTAATTAATGGTATTACTTCAGGCATTGGTATTTCCTTAGATTTTTGCGGCAAAATATTTTGTACTGTATTTCCTGCTTTCTCCGATATGTGTGGATGAGTCCTCTATATCGCTGATATCAGACATTTTTATATTATAATTATCGAAGTTTAGATCTACGAAAATTTAATACGTTTTGACAACTAAAACAATTACATAGGAACCTAGGACAAACGTCAAACAACATGCTTGATTAAAAAATTGTATGTTTCTATTGATTAAAAATCTGTATCGTAATGAAAAATCTGTATCATAATGGAGATTTAAAGAGAAACCAGGTACATTATTCACAGGCTAATGCAGGGACAAAACCGAATAAGCCAACTGCAAAGCGGTGACCATACGAGGCCATATCAACAAGTAAGGATATTATAGGAATACCTAGTGATATAACCACAACCACATACAAATTTAGAAAAACAACCTTTCAAATTCAAATACCAGCCCGAGAATCCTGGAAACAGGGACCTCTGATACAGACTGATCTCGTCTGGTATACGGACGGCACAAAAACCAAAGAAGGAGTAGGAGCTAGAAACTATGGAGTCAATTCGAAAACAACGGTTTCACTGAGTCTAGAAGAATATTTAACAATGTTTCAGGCGGAACTTTTAGCCATACTACCCTGTACAAGACAAATATTAAATCAATAAGTGTCAGATAAAACTATTGCCATCTACTCCAATAGAAAACAGCTCTGAGGGCAAATCTCTCACCAGAAATTAAATCACGACTGGTGAAAGACTGCCTAGAAGACCTGGCAGAGCTTAGTAGCCAAAACAAGATTATTCTAGCCGGAGTTCCAGGCCATCAGGGATATTAGGGCAGCGAAAAGGCCTACGAAGGCTAAGATATAGCTATTACAGGCCCCGAACAATTCTATGGAGTTGCTAGGGCATTGTGCAAAGCTTTCGTCAAACAATAATTGCAAAAAGTCTCAAGAATGGTGGAAGACTTAGACAAGCCAAGGAGTCCATCAAGGAATCAACGATCAAATTCAAGATCAAAAACGTCAAATTGTTAGGTCTTCTTACAGAACATTGCCGCCTAAAAAGACACATGAGTGTCATCAATCCCGCAGAAGAAGCAACATTGTTCTGCGCAAGTGTGAAAGCCTGGCTAGATTGAGATTTCTAACATTAGGCGAAGAAACAAGGTAGCGGTGAACAAGGACAAATAATGTCTAACGCCTTTCAAATCTATTGATTATTTATTTTTAATTTTATTTATTTATTTTTATTTATTTTTATTTATTTTTATTTATTTTTATTTATTTTTATTTATTTTTATTTATTTTTATTTATTTTTATTTATTTTTATTTATTTTTATTTATTTTTATTTATTTTTATTTATTTTTATTTATTTTTATTTATTTTTATTTATTTTTATTTATTTTTATTTATTTTTATTTATTTTTATTTATTTTTATTTATTTTTATTT